ATGTCCTGAAACTGAATATCCTGTGCTTTTCTAACTCCTCAGTTTTAGCGAGAGGCACTCCAGCATCGTGCAATGTGAAGGTCCCTGTTTGCAGGCAAAGCCCCCTGATGCTGGCACTGGAAGGTTCTCTGACTCAGAGCAGCCCGAGCTGTCACGTGAGAGCTGCACAAGCTAAGCCTAGAGCCAGGTGTGCAAGCTACGCAGGACAGGGTCGGAGAAAACCAGGTCAATTCATGCTACTGGGCAGTTGTTTTAGATGATTCTTTAGATGCTGTAAAGATAAGAGTTTCTTTTTTCAGAGAAAAATAAACTTTAATAGGCACGAATAATATGGTATCTACCACCTGCCTCCTGGAAATCTCTCAAGGGTTCCCTTTGACTTGGTGGATATCTCCAGTGACACCATCCATCCTCACCTGTAGCAGCACCCATCAGGACCTCCTACCCTTTTGCTTCACCATGCACTCTCTCCCTTCTGCCCCTCACCCTTGCCAGGCCCCTCTCCTACCACAGAGTCCCTGGCTGTACTCTTTGCCTCTGCCTGGAGAAGCCTTCCCTTGCTGCTCTGTAATTAACTCCTACTCAACCTTGGATCGAGCTGCCCTTTCTCAGAAAAGTCCTTTCTGATCTCCCTGGCCAGGGAAAACTGACAAATTACAGGAAGTCAGGACACTCAGTTCCCTTCATAGCTGCACCTTTATATTTATTTACTGAATTTTTAAAAATCATTTATTCTCCTTCTCTGCTGTAAACCAACAGAGATGGTGTCTGGAACAAAATAGATGTTCAGTAACCATTTATTAGATGAATGAATGAAAATCAGACACAAAAGTTGGGGCATGTGGGTGGTTCAGTCAGTTGAGCATCTGACTTCAGCTCAGGTCATGATCTCATAGTCTGTGAGTTTGAGCCCCACATCTGTGCTGACAGCTCTGTGCTGACAGTTCAGAGCCTGGAGCCTGCTTTGGATTCTGTGTCTCCCTCTCTCTCTCTGCCCCTCCCCCACTCCCTCTCTCTTACTGTCTCTCTGTCTCTCTCTTTCTGAAAAATAAATAAACATTTTTTAAAAATTAAAAAAAAAAAGAAAATCAGACATAAAAGATACTTCTAGATCTTCCAGACTGGCCAGGCTCACAGAGGCTTCTCAAGTCCTGACATCTGGCTACTCAGTCTCCTGAGGTCTGTGTAAGGAGAGCGGAGTCTCCAGCACCAGCTGTTGGGGTTCACTGGGAGGTGATCCTAGAGGCACACTCTGGGTGACTTGAAAGCCCAGATCCCATTGGCTGCATCTCCTCATATGGTCATCTCCTCACATGACACACAGGATGGCTCTCCCAATGCTTCTGGAGTCATAGAAGGATATTTCTGTTCTACCTCACCTTATGCCTCCAAACTTAGTCCCCTGCTCTATGGGGATCAGGGACTTTTATTTATTTGCTTTCAATGTGACATTAACTTTCTGGGTCTAGGTGGTAACTATACAGAAGTGTTTGTTGAGTGATGAACTTAGATTTTGTGTACTTTTCTGTGTGTCATATTTCAATATAAAACCTTAAAAATATTTACAAAGACCTTCGCAGCAACTCATAATAGTGAGAGAGACACAGAGTGAGACCAAAACTAAGAGAAGGAAAGAAAAAGAGAAAGAGAAATCAATATACACAATAAAACCTTGGTTTGCAAGCATGATTCATTATGGAAACATGCTTGTAATCCAAAACACTTGTATATCAAAGCAAATTTCCCCATGAGAAATAATGGAAACTCAGATGATTCATTCCGAGACCCAAAAATATTCATATAAAAATGATTACAATATTATAATATAATGCAAAATAATAAAGAAAAATAAACACATTAACCTGCACTCACCTTTGAAAATCTTCATGGCTGGTGTGAGGGAGACAAAAGAGAGGATGGTTATGTAGGACAACTTTTCAGTATCACTAATGGATGTTGACTACAGTACAGTATTAATACATTTTTGTCATACACTGTATTTAATGTAACTGGCAATAAGGCAGCAGAGGAAAGGGTCTATGACTGCAGGCAGCCTGACCTAGAATGAAGCAAAGCCTTCCTAAGCTCACTCTTGTATGGAAAAGCAAAGGACTGTCTGTGGATGCTATGAAGTGACAAAAAGTACATTAGTGCCAGTTGTGGGCACTTTCCAACATTCTTAAAAATCACTGATTTCTGCCAAACACCACTGCCTGAGACCAAGCATATGAACATGGGAGACAGTTACCCACAATCCTACAGCAAGAAAGAGAGAGAGGGAAGAACTATTGTCTCAGTTGTAATTATGTGACGCTCAGCACCACGTGCTACTCATATTGCTCGTTTATCAAGTTAAAATTTATTAGAAATGTTTGCTTGTCTTGCAGAACACTCGCAGAACAAGTTACTCAAAATCCAAGGCTTTACTGTATATCATAAAGGGCAACAAGGGGATGGTTAAATAAATCACTGACTAGCCACACATCAGAAATGTCAGAAAGCAAACCACAAGAAATAAAAGATACAGTTGTATGCACTAACCAGAACTGGTGCTGAATATTCACTATTAAATGAAAACCGGTCATCACAGGGCAATACATGCTGTGCTTCTACATAATAAAAAGGGAGGCTCTTCAGGATATATGATGGGCTGAGATTTATTAATGCATGTGTTTGTTTTCTTCTACATTTCTTCTACTCACTCTCCTTACCAAGAGAATTATGTGTTTGCCTTTTAAGTTTTATAGTCTCTTCCCTCTTCCCTGTAAAAAAACAACAGAATGAGCTAGAGAGAGCTAGAACAGCTGGGAAGAAAGGGACAGGTTTTTATTCCTGGGTCAGTTCCTCTGGAAAGGAGAATCTCAGGATTGGGTAAAGAATGCAGAAAAGTAACAAAGCACCCAGAAAGACTCAGGCTATACCACCAGGATCAAACATGATTTGGGGGTGGGGGGGTTGGCAAGGGAGAAAGAGACAAAAGAAACCATACCGTCTGGTTGTTAGGGAGTTTTTGGGGTATTTCGTGAGGGAATCTTGAGCACCAGTGCTCAGGATATGGGATAATTGAAGAGGAGAGAAAATGGGAGTTCTAGAAATGTGTCATGAGGGGCGCCTGAGTGGCTCAGTCGGTTAAGTGTCTGACTTTGGCTCAGGTCATGATCTCACGGTTTGTGGGTTTGAGCCCTGTGTTGGGCTCTGTGCTGACTGCCTGGCTCAGAGCCTGGAGCCTGTTTCAGATTCTGTATCTTCCTCTCTCTCTGAACTTCCCCTGTTCATGCTGTCTCCCTCTCTCTCTCTCAGAAATAAATTAAAATTTAAAAAAAAACATTAAAAAAATTAAAAAAAAGAAATGTGTTATGAGATATGAAATGGATTCCCTATAATACTTTCTGACACATAAGTACTGGGCCAGACTTGTAGGATGCCATCCATTGGCCTCATACATTGGGCCACTGGAGGCTAGACAAAGACCTAATCCAAACTCAGTATGGTCAGTCCTAGAAAAGGGTGTGGAATTGGAAGTTAAAAAGTAACTTAATTTTTATCTATAAATGTGCAGCTGACCCTTGAACAACATGGTCAAGAGTCAGTTTGAACTGCACAGGTCCCATTGTATGTGGATTTTTTCAATAAATACAATATAATGTTTTCTCTCTATCTTATGATGTTCTTAATAACACATTCTTTTCTTTGGCTGACTTCATTATAAGAATATAGGATAGAATACAGATAATATACAAAATATGTGCTAATTGACTGTTTATGTTATCAGTAAGACTTCTGGTCAACAGAAGTCTACTAGCAGTTACCTTTCTGGGGAGTCAACAGTGTGGATTTTTGACTATGTGGGGGATCGAGGCCCCTAACCCCTGCATGGTTCAGGCATTGACCGTACTATTTGAATGTATACATAAGCTCATGCTACTTACCTAATTTTTAATTCATAAATACAAAAGCATTGCATTCCCATGTTCTTTGCTGAAGGAGCAGCTCACGGACCCCTGACAGGAAAGGAGCCCCCGGTGCCGTAAGAGGAGACAGCTGCTGTGCTGGGTGACTGGGCTGCAGTGGGTTTGGCTGAGGGGTGGGGTGTGATTTGGGGGGCCATGGGGGACTTGGATGTTCAAAGGCAGCACAGTTGTCCAGATGCCTCTCTGCGAGTGTCCCAGGGCAACCCAACAGAGGTTGCTTAGAACAAACCCAAGGTCCACAGATCCTGTTGGAATACTCATTTACACACTCACCAAGCATGCTGCCTCTTCTGCTCATGCATCAGGCCTTGTGAGGCTGCTTTGAACAGCACTAACCCCCTATCTATTTTTTAGTGTGTGGGTTTACAATCTCTGGTTATAAAAGTCTACCCCAAGCCCCCAGAGTCAGCAAAGTAATGGAAGAAGTGCTCATGAGGAAGGGTGTCTGGCCTGAGACCCAGATGCTTATGCCAAAAGATTCTCTTGGCAACCTCTCCCTCCATACCAGGGCTGTCTCCCAAGCCAACATGGGGAATGCCCACTTGCCTCAGGGGAGTCCTCACCTTTTCCCTCAGGTCTTTACGCTGTGGCCATAGGAAGGCAAACACATCAGATGAGAAAATGGAATCCACAGAAGCAGGGACATCATCATGAGGCTCCTGAGCAGATCTGATTTCACAGGTTTTCAACATCCAGAAAACTGAACCCTGAGTTATGTAGAGCAATCATGCTACCACAAGGGCTTCAGCATGGCCAAATCCTGTCCTCACACTCAACAGAAGGCAGGGAAGAGGCATCCCCCAACCCTCAAATCTCCAGCTAAGCTGCATGGGGAAGTTTATTAGCAGAAGTCTAGAATGCTCAGGTTCCCAGGCTGGATGGCACCAGCTTGGTTGGCTTGTTCATATCCACGCACACCTCTCCCTTTGGTGTGAAGCAAGTGGAAGAATTTCTGATAGAAAAGCATAAATATGACCAAATACACAGGACGTCACTGTGAATTGCATTCAGAGCTTTATTCTTGCCAAAGTTTGGGAGGGTGCATTAACTCTGGCAGGCTGCCTTGATAGAGAAGCACAGTGCACTGTGGAGCAGTGAGATTCTACACCACCGGGAATATGGGGAGGGGGACAGAAGCTGGTGAAGGTTCCAGAAGGTAGAGCAGGGCCATTCTGTATTTAGCAGCAGCAATCATCCTCATGATCACAGCATGCAGGACCTCGGGACCTCATGGGGATAATTCCCAAACAGCAGCACCCAGAATCACAGCACCCGGAGCCACAGCACCCGGAGCTACAGCACCCGGAATCTTCACAGCAGCCAGATGATCCTGAGTTGCATTCCTGGGGCCGTTGGATCCAGCGTCTCAGGGGACTCACCCCAAAGGTCCTGGGAGCCAGACAGCAGTAGCTGGTGGAACAGGGAGCAGAGCATGGATCAGGGGTGCAGCACGATGTGGCCGAGCCATTTGCAGAAGACTGAACATAGTAGGTCTGGCCAAAAGAAGGGCCCTGGACAGAGCAGGTCTGGGTCTGGCAGGGGGCTGGGCACTTCACATATGTCTGGGTTGGAGCTGCGTACTTCACATAAGTTTGAGTCTGGCATGGCACTTGGTATTTCACATAGGTTTGAGTCGGGCACGGAGCTGGGCATTTCACATAGGTTTGAGTCTGGCAAGGAGTTACACATTTCACATAGGTCTGAGTCGGGCATGGAGCTGGGCATTTCACGTAGGTTTGAGTCTTGCAAGGAGTTACACATTTCACATAGGTCTGAGTCGGGCACGGAGCTGGGCATTTCACGTAGGTTTGAGTCTGGCAAGGAGTTACACATTTCACATAGGTCTGAGTTGGGCACGGAGCTGGGCATTTCACGCAGGTTTGAGTCTGGGATGGAGCTGGGCACTTCACAGAGGTACCTTTGGTACTCTGCATAGCTCCCAATCCGGAACCTTTCACGCAAGATGGGGGGAACTGTGGCTGCTTCTGCTGGTCACACATCTTCCTGTGGCTTTGCAAATTCTGAAAAGAAAGGTCTTGTCAGAACTAGGAAGATTTCCTAGGGAAACCCACAGCATCCCTTTTGAATAGAAGGGTCTGTAAGTGGGAGCTTCTTAGAGAAGGTCACAAGCACCTAGACCTGACACAGAGTGCACTGAGGGCCAAGCATCTTGTTCAGCTTTTGTGCCTGTGCCTGGCTGTGTGCCTCAGTTTCCACAGTGGAAAATGAAGAGGGGGAAGGAGTGACGTCTGTTTCTACCCAATTCTAAGCCCCCTGTCTTCGTACTCACTTTGGTGTCTGCATCATTACAGATTCTCCTTGGGTAATTCTTTCCCAGTTGATTTCCCCTCACCACCAAGTCTCTCAAGCTTGGTCTCCCTCTTCCCTCTTGCCAGGCAGGCAGGATCCAGGAGAGGCAAGATCTTATCAGTGGCTCCTGAGCCAGCGTGAGTCTCGAGCTGAGCCCCACAGAGCCTGACAAGGTCGGAGTTTGAGTGAATTCCCACCATTTGCTCTTCAAATGGGCTGGACTACCACTCCACCCCATAAAAGAACCCAGTAGAAAAACACATGACTGCATGCGGAGGGAGAGGGGGAGGTGGTTCTCTGAAGAACGCTTCTCACTCAGGATCCACAGCTCAGCTCACAAGGCTGCCTCTCCCCATCACACTCCAGCCTCCAGCTCCCACCAGCTCTGCCCCAGCTCCTTCGGTGGCCGTCCTCGTGACTAGTCCCGACCACCCTCATCCCATCCCAGAGCCACCTCTCTTTCCTGCTGCGTCCCTGATGCCAGGCACAGACTTACCCTCTTCGCTGACAGAAGCAAGACAGGAAGAAGCCAGGGATCTAAGGAGTCGGCTGTTGGGAAGGCTTTTTATAGGGTGGCAGTGAGGCAATTTAATGGCATCTGAATGAAGCAGGAGAGGTCACGAGGACCAGGACTGGCACGGCATTAGTGAGATTCTTCCCCAGTATGCCTGATTCTTCATTCAGAGTCAGGACATGCCTCTGCTTGACACTGAATTTTTCCAAACACGAGATAAACGATTCCTGTGGCCTTCTTCATGAAACAAGTCAATCTTCTTTTCCTAGAAGTTATGCGAGATGAGATGCCTGTGAGATCTGTAGGTATGAAGCCATTTCTAGGTCACTAGAGTCTTCAGGGGCTTGTCCAAGATGCAGTCAGCTTCTCCATGTTTCATACACTGTAAGCTACACTGCTTCTTCCCAGCCTAAACAGTGTGTTCCTTCCGAGGGCCTCCATGGTGAATCCTGTTGGTTTGGGTGACTGGGCCTGGTGGTCTCTGCCTCCGAATGCCAGCAGCCCCCCCCCACCCCCCACCCCTCCAAGAACTCCAGGTTAATTCCATGGACTGGGTAGGAACTTAATGATCTCAGACCTCAGGTTCTATATCTGGGGTGTGTCTCCTCAGCTTCTCATGCCCTTCTGACCCCCTGTCCTCAGCTGTGCCTCACAGCCTACCCTTCCTCACCTTCCTGGACCTCACTACTAGGCCTAGATCCCTGAGACCCCAGTACAGAGGGAATTCTAGCCAAATGAACACTGCGTGATAATAATAATAGAGGATGCTAACATTTAAGTGAATGCTTTTTATGTGTCAAACAATTCCTGAAAGATTAAGGAAGTTACCCATTGTCACAAAACAATTAGGTAAGAAGCTGGAGTTCACACACAGGCAGTCTGCTTTCATAAGCCATGGTCTTTATCACTATAACACGTTGCCTTTTGTTTCTGGATATAGCACTGAATATCTGCCTCCTTCCTGTTCCTCAATGTAGTATACAGAGCAAGAGAGATGGGAATAATATGCATTAAGCACATCCTGTGAGGTAGGCTATGCTAGCCCTGTTTTGACAAGGAAGCTGAGACCCAGAGGCCTATGTAACCAAGGCTGTCCCATTGATAGGCAATGGAGTATCATTTGAACCCAAGCCTGCCTAGTTTCAGAGCCCACGCTCTTCCCACTGACCCGTGTCAGGTTGCCCAATGCAGAAAGGTATCTTGATCCTGAACCGAGTCCAGGTTGCAAACTGCCACTCCCTCATATCAGCCGGTGCAGGCCCCACCATGGCCCCACTCCTCTAAGGGAAAGGTGCCTCTGCATGTGTCCATAATGGATCCCAATTTCCCCAGGACCCATATGCTTAAGGTTCCCCAATTTCCCTAAACCAAGAAAACAAGCCCCCTCGAGGCCACAGACACTTCCCTGTTCCAAGCCAAATGGTGCAGGGTCTGCCCCTGAACAATTTGGAGGAAGCAAGGGGAGATTCAGCCCCAGGCTTGAAAGTTTCCTGCTTCCCCTCATCATTCCCGCATTGAGTGTGCCTGTAGCACTCCATAGCTTTGTGTGTGAAGCCCACCAGTCCCTGCCCTGCCGGGGGGGGGGGGGGGGGGGGGGGGGGGGGGGGGGGGGGGGGGGGGGGGGGGGGGGGTGTTAAGGCTGTTCCCTTGCCCATTCTCCTGTGTTCCACCTCAGCTGACACTCAGGCCTGATGTTTTATGATGGAAATTGGACAAGACAAGGATTATCTTTCACTGAAGCTCTATGTATCACAGAGGGGAGCTTATCACATTTGGTCTCCGTAAGACTGTCTTAAATAAATAAGGAACAAAACTTGCCTGAGCTCACATAGCTACAAGTAGTAGATCTGGAATTTTGAGCCCAGGTTTATTCTACTTTTTTTTCCACATGCTATTTTTAACATTAAAATACATGAAGTTTTAGGAACCATACCTTTTAGCGAATAGACATGGTCATTAGGAAGCTCTCTATATCAGATGTAGGATAGGACAGCCTCACTCTACATACAGGGAAGAAAATACCCTGGAAGGCCAACCATTTTAGGGCATATCAACAAAACAGAAATAGTTCAAGGCACAAATAGAACTCAGCCCTAGTTCTGATTCTGCCATTGTGGCACCGTGTGGCTCCACTATGCCTTGCGATCTCTAGGCAGTTAATGTTAATGAAGTTATAGTTAAAGAAGCCCCTCCTGGCTATGATATGCTATGATTGTAGGGGCTTGTTCTACAAGGAAATGTATTCATATCCTAACTGTCCAGGCAGTTATTCCCACGAGACTCTAATTTCTGTGCACTGGTAACTGTGAGCACATTCATTGTGTATCGCCTGGCTCTAGCACAGGACCTGGGGAACACTAACTGCACTAATGAATGAGTGACTGAGTGAGGATGCTTTACACTGACCATACAGCCTAAACTAACCTCCTTCCTCCATGCAGCAAATGCCCATCCAGCTATTAGCTGATCTGTGCGCCTCGTGATACCTCTCAGCTCTGATTGGCTCACTTCCTGCTCTGTGGGGTCAGGCTTCCCGTAATGGGTTTGACATCTTCAGTCAGTATGAACATCTCTGGTGAGGATACTGTTGCCATGTGCCACCAAAACAGGTGGGTGGGCTGTGCCCCACCCATTTTATAGGCTGGAATGGCGAGGTGTGGAGAAGTCAGGTGACAAATTCCAGTGCCAGGGTGAGTCACAGGGTTATCCTCAGAAGTCACCACTTATCTCTTTGGGCAGAAGCTTACAGAAGTAGAGACCTGTGGATTCATGCAATAATAGTCTGGTAGACTCACAGAGTAATAGGAAGAGAGAATCATGAATTCACAGAATGACAGAGTCACAGATTCAGAATCATGGCATCTCTGAGGTGGAAGGGATTAAAACGTGTCATGGGGGTCTGCCCCTGGCGTAACACAAGGCAATATCTGAGTCATCTGCCTTAATGGGCTGCTCTTCTTAGGAGAAACTTCTGGTCCTTAAAAGCTCTCTGCAGTCCCCTGGTTAGCTCATTTCAGGACTTACTATCTGGATAATCAGAAACTGTATACTTGACTATCTTAAGGTCCTTTATAGCACCAGCATCAATGAATCCTGACATGCACTACATGTTTGAAGTTGTACCCATAAATACATGAACCAATTCAAGATTTCAACTCAGTGGTAACCCCAGCTCTGACCGTAGATTGGAGGGGGAAGTACCCAATTTGACATGCTGCTCCCTGAGGGCCCTCGCATCCTGGGTGTTTTCCTTGATCAGAGACTGCAGGCACTCAGGGCAAAATCTGGGTCTCTCTTTTCTTGTGGAAGAGAAGTAGGAGGAAGTGAGAAGCCACACACGCAGGAGGTGGAGGGCACAAGAATCATGGTACCCAGTGAGAAATCTCACTTTTGTGTCTGCAAAGACAACACAGAGGTCCCCTCCCTTAGATCCCATGTCCCTGTACATCTCTGCTCCAGGCTCAACTCTGAGACTTTTGCCAGAGATCCCCTGAACCATTATTCCAGTGGCAATACAAGATTCCTCCTAGATTATCAGGAGATTGTATCATAGAACCACAGAATGGAGGACTGGTATGAGTAGGGCCTTTACAGGCATAGAACTTCACCCCTATATTGGTACTGAGGCCCACAGAGAAGGGAAGAAATTTGCTCAAGGCTACACATCCAGGTAGGAGCAGACTTTAGACGGGAATTACTGAATCTCATCCAGGATACGTCCGCTTACAACACATGGCCACTGAGTAGGCTTGCTGGGGGACACCCTCACTTGGCCTCATCCTTGCCTCCTTCCCTGTCCCCCAATCCCACCAAAACTACCACAGGGGATCCAATGAAAGTCATCAAAGGATCATCCTTTATGGAGCAGAGACTGTTTTCACATATGTAGAGGAGGGTCACACAGGATTCCCACTGTGTACACATGAGGGACATTGAAATCTGAGAACCCCAGCACCACCTGGATCAAAGCCTGGGCTACACTTGGGCCAGAAACACAGAGTAAGACAGTACCAGAACCCTCTTGATTACAAGGCTAGGGAACATCGGTGCCCATATGTCCCTCTCTCTCCTAGAATGATCCACTAGGGTCGGTTTCCTTGAACTTCTGCCAGCCTTTCCCTTATTTTATTCTCTTATAACACACAAGGTAACTAGTCCCTTGGGTTTATCTACCACTTTGTAGAGCTGTTTAATTTCATGATTCAAAGACCACCCACTGAAATTTTTAGTAGAAATGGCCTCACCTTTGCACTTTAGGATACATGGAAGTTTCATGTTTCCCTAATACATTACTGCAGATATAAACCACTGGATCATATTTCCTCGTGGAGCCCCCCGCCCCCAGCCACTCCCTCCATCCTTCCAGAGCAAATACCCTGCTTTGTCCTTTATCCCAACCCCCCACCCCACCCCAGACCACCACACAAAGGACCAATTTCATTCCTACAAACTTATGCCAGAGAGTACATGGTTCTCCTCACAGCCTGATTACATGAGTTTAGGCAATCTGCTGAACCTTTCTGAATCTCAGTTTCCTCATCTGTAAAATGGAGATACTGACAGTCGGATCATGCAACTCTTCTGCTAAAATCAATCTAATGACTTCTCACTCTGTTCAAGGTCAAAGCCTAAGTCCTTACAATTGCTTTCGACTAGACCCATGACCCCACACCCTTACTTCCTGACTTCATGTCCCACACTGTTCCCTACTCGATTCCTTGATACAGTGGCCTCCTTGCAGCTCATCTGATGTTCCAGGCACACTCCTGCTTCAGGGAACTTTGTTCTTTTTTTTCTTTCCCCAAAATGTTCTTCTCCCAGACACCCATGTGGCTAACTTGCTCACTTCCTTCCACTTATGACCTTGGGAAGGCTCTTGCTGGTGACCCTGTTTAAAACCATAATCACCACCTAATTGTCAGACTCTGTCCCTCTTCCAAGCTCTGTTTTCTCCATAGAGATTACAACCATTTAACACATGACATATTTTAAGTATGTACGTGTTTTTCATTTTCTCACACTATAATGTAAACTCTATCAGGTATCTTCATCCCCTTGGTCCACTACTCTATCCACAGTGCCTTTCTCAAGCACTTGGTGCCCTCAAAATATACCTATTGGATGAGAAAATAGCATATTTTTCCTTATTCATTTTGTTTGTCATCTGTGTTTCTTTATGAGAATACTTAAGAGCAGGAGAAAATTTTATCTGTTTTGTTTACATCTATATTGTTAGATCTCAAAACTGTTCTTAGGACATAGTAGGCATCTAATATATACCTTTCGAATAAACACTCCAGACAAATATTAACAGGGAATAAATCATGTCTAACATATGAGCAAGTACTAATGGAATGTGAGTTACTTTTGCTAGGATTGCTATCTATTATTCCACATCAACCATATGCAATAATCACAATTGCATTCAATCCTGGGGGGGGGGGGGAAGACTGAAAGCAGATAGGCAGGGTAAGAAATAGGCATTTTCTTCTAATTCAGATGAATTATATCCCAGAAAGTCTGTGGTCCCATCACGCCAGTCCCTGGCCATTCCTACCACTGTCTTCCACCCTTTTCTCAGACCATTCTAATGAATGAAATTCTACCCTTCTCCTCCCCACACTCTGTCCTATAGGCATGAAGCCCCTTGTTACAGAGCTCTGCTGATTTGAGGCTTCCTGAAAACCACAGGACTAGAATTTCAAATAGTGTTCTGGTTTCTATACAGGTAGACCAAGGAATATAGTTTTGTCCCCAGTGCCCTTCTGAGCAAGCACAGCTACTTGGCAAGTCACAGGATGACAGGCAGGAGTCCAGATACTGCTGCCCTGCCTCTGATGCTTCCATATCTCTGGGTAACGCCAGGTTCTCCTTTTATTCCTCTAGCCCCTCCAATACTCTTATAACAAACTCTCTGCATTAAACCCTTCTCTATTTCAAATAGCCAGCGTGGTCTCTGTTCTCAGGACTGGACACTGACATCCTGAAACTTTTATAATATAAATTACATAGTACAATCTTCTCCAGGGAGAAGGGGAGAGGCATCTAAAAAATGAAGGAAATAAATATGCAATCCCAAATGGTAGTGAATGCAAGAACAGTAACAAACCAGGCTTTTCACAAAAAATGTTTCTCGGAAAGCTTGAGGGAGTCATGTTGATGCCCACCTCAGTTCTTCATTTTTTCTTCTTAGTGAATTCATTTGGCCTCAAGGCTAGGATCGACTGCAATATCTAATCTATCATATCCAAGGCTTCTGCCTCAGAGAGAGCTCAAATCAGCAGAGTTCAGAAACAGGGGGCCTCCTATCTCTAGGACAGCATGTGGGGAAGAGAAGGAAAGAACTTCATTACAATCCTGATGCTTGGGTTTCTGTAAAAAGGCTTCTAAAGTTTTTTTAAAAATTTAAAAATCTGGATTTCAGTCATACTTTGTTTAACCAGACTTCTTTATGTTCACAACACAGAGTAAGGAGAGCACTTACAAAGATCAGCAAGCTTTCTCCATCAGTTCCCAACTGGAGCTGGGATATTCTGTTATCTTAATTCTCTTAAAAACAGTGAGCAAGTGGGAGAGAGAGAGAGGGAGAAATATTGCTCCTAAGAGGTATGTATGAAGCAACAATTACATTTTTTACTTAATAAGATCTTCTGTCGAAATCACTTAACTGGCATGGCTATTTTTCATCACAAATGTTTTTCCAGTTTTATTGAGATATAATTGACATGTAACATTGTATAAATTTAACATCCATAATTGCCATCTCTTTTCTGTGGCAAGAACATTTAAGACCTGTCTTGTCAACTTTCAATGTAGAGTGCTGCAAGTACTGTTATCTATAATCACTATGTTGTACATAAGATCCCCAGAATTTATTCATCTTCTAACTGGAAATTCGTACTCTTTGATCTACATCTCATTTCCCCACTCCCTGATAATCTCTTTTTTAAGTTAGACTCCTCTGGGAATTCTAGTCAATCCTGATTTATTGGTTTCACATGAATACTGCAGAAGTTTAGATTTTCATGGAGATAGACATGCATTAACTATCAATTGATTAAAGCTTAGTTGGTTGATTTTTCTCAAGTCTAGTAAAAGCTGTAAGTCTGTTTTCTATCCAGGGAGGACTAGGACTTAGATAAAAGAAGGAAAAAAAAAAAAAAAGGAATAAAAACCACCAATCAAATTGGGACTTGAAAGTAAATTCACGGTTGCAAAACACACGTTTTAGGGTATTTTTCAGCAATCTGAGAAAAAACGATATTCACATGAGGTCAAAAAGAGCACAAACCCAAGGTATAAAGTTGATGGCTTCTGAGAAGCAAACGTTTCATGTTTATTCATTTGATTGGGTCCAGGACAGGAAGACAAGAGAGAAAAGGGGACAAAATGCTAGGCTGTAATAGGTCTTTTATCTTTTAATTCTTGCAGTGCTGTTCCTCGGTGTTCCTCGTGGTTATGGTCAGCAGCAGCCCCCAGAGCAGCAGTCAGAGCCTCCAGACTGTTGGCCGCTGCCCCCGCCGCAGCACCCGGAGCCCCCCGAGGGCTGGCTGCAGCAGTCAGAGCTCTGGTGTCTGTGGCGGTGGGACCTGCGTCGCCTGTGGTGGCTCAGACAGCAGCCCCCACCCCCGGAGCTGCAGCAGCCTCCGCTGCCCCCTGAGCTACAGCAGCCCCCGCCCCCAGAGCTGGAGCCACAGCAGCCCCCAGAGCTGACACTGCAGCAGGAGGAGACTGGGGGGCACTTGGGGGGGCACTTGGGGGGACATTTAGGGGTGGGACACTTTTGCAGGCACTTGGGAGGGGGCTGGCACTGCTGCTGGTTCTGCTGGCAGGACATCTTGGTGGGATTTCAGTAAACCTGAATGAGAAATCAGAAACACACCCCGAATTAACCTCCAGAGCCATTACATTTCTCTCTCTTAAAATCCTTCCTCATGGTTGGGGAGGGATATCTAAAATATGTGTGCATATTCTTTATCCGTTCAACAGTCAATGGACATTTGGGCTGAGATATATACATAATATAATTATTTATATATATTATATATATTACTCTATATTATATATCTATTACTCAGCCATAAAAACATGAAGTCTTGATATTTGCAACAACATGGATGGAGCTAGAGAGAAGTATGCTAAGTGAAATAAGTCAGTGACAAAGAGACAAATACCCTATGATTTCATTCATATATGGAATTTAAGAAATAGAACGAGGAAAAAGGGAAAGAGTGAAAGAGAGAGGCAAACCAAGAAAAAGACTCTTAACTACAGAAAACAAACTGATGTTACCAGGGGGGAGAAGGATGGGAGCATCGGTGAAATAGATGATGTGCACTTGTTGTGATGAGCACTGGGTGATGTATGGAAGCATTGAATCACTATATTGTACACCTAAAACTAATACAACACAATGTTAACTGGACTTTAAATAAAAATGTAAAAAAAAAATATCTAAGTGTATGTAAACTTATGTGTTGAAGCATATGGTAATAGCTCTGTTGTTAACTTATTGAACCTACATTAGGTTTAGTGTGTCTTTCAAGTAATATCTTCATTCATTAAGATATAAGTGTTTGTCAACTTATGTGTAGAAGCCTGTGTGAATAGACTTATACTAAACTCATTGAAACTACACTGTATGCAACATAAAATAAAATACATATACTGACAGAATCCTGTGTGAGACAGTGAATGTGTCTTCTTTACTTTTCTAGAGTGGTCCACAGTTCTTAATTCATTTTTTTTTTTTTAATGTTTGTTTTAGAGAGAGAGAGAGAGAGAGAGAGCAGAAGCAGGGAAGGGGCAGAGAGAGAGGGAGACACAGAATCTGAAGCTGGATCCAGGCTCTGAGCTGTCAGCACACAGCCCGATGTGGGGCTCAAACCCATGAACTGCAAGATCATGACCTGAGCTGAAGTCAGACGCTTAACCCACTGAGCTACCCAGGCGCCCCCACAGGTCTTGATTCTTTTTTTAATTTTTAAAAAATGTTTATTTATTTTTGAGAGAGAGGGAGACAGAGTGTGAGGGGAGAGGGCCTGAGAGAGAGGGAGACACAGAATCCAAAACAGGCTTCAGGCTCTGAGTTGTCAACACAGAGCCCAGTGAGGGACTCTAACCCACAGACCATGAGATCATGACCTGAGCCGACGTCGGAAGCCCAACCTAGTGAGCACAGAAGCATCCCCACAGTTCTTGATTCTTAAGTGATTAAGAACAACTGCTAAACTCATACATCAACCAATATCCAAATGGTAGAATGAAATACTAGAATGGATCTCTCATGTCTTTTCAAAGACATATTAAGTCAATATATATTAAGACACACACACACACACACAATATAAATTGGGGATCTGCACAGTCATGGAAAAGCTTCCTTCGGAGCAATGGGCTCAGTGTTAACAAGCCAGTCACTGAGAGACTGTATAGTTCTTGGTCATATATCACATCCCTCTCTGACCACAGGGACTAGTCTTCCCAAGTGGTTCCTGCTTGGTCCCAAACAAGCATCAGTTCTGACTTTCTGTCCTTGCCCCTTGGTTCTCCTCAACACTCCGCTCTGCCCCTCTCCCAGAATGACATTCCAGCTCCAAATCCACCCTGCGCAGTGACCCCTCTGGGTCTCATAGAAACACTCACCCTGGTCTCAGGCAACTGCAGTCACGTCCCTGAGGAAGCTGAGCAGATGAGGTGCCAGCAGCAGGGACACCTTTTATATGGGGCCCAGGGCTGGGCTTCAGGTGAGCCATGCTTCTGGAAGGAGCAGGACATGGCTCTTGCACAAGCAAAGCACGTGCAGGTTCTTCCTGACATTCCCCTGCCCGTTGGTTCTTTCCACACTGAGCTAGGAGAGGGAACTCCCAGTCTGCTCGCCAGGAGTCAGGGCTTTGGGGGAGCAGTTGTATAGGTGGCATTCTGTAAATCATACTCTCCCCCTTGTCTCTGGCCCAGGTTTGGGGAGACCAAATTGCCTCTGGATAGAGGATGCTAGTGCTGTGGTCTCTGAAATTCCTTTTCTAAGGAGATTATGAATGCCTTTCTTTCCAACCTCTGTCTTAAATTCCCCCTTGTCTATCTTTGAGAAACAACCCTTTGGCCTAGATCTTCCTCTGAATTGGGATCCAGTAGCTGCTCTGCAAGGTTTACTAGGTACTGTGAGGCTTTTCTTCCCAACAGGTGCAGTCATGTTTGGTCTGGTATCCCAGTCCAGTGGTGGGCTGGACAGTCAATGTGTGCATCTCTTCACAACTCTGCATTCAGTGCACTCAGATGGGTAGCTTGGAGTCTACTGTGGTGGAAATATTTACACCATTGAAACTGGCACCAATTCACGTTCCTTTTTTCCTCCAGAAATCCCACTGCTTAAACAAGATATGACTTCCCAGGGCTCAGTCTACTCCGCTGGAGTAAACATTGCTCTTTTCATTGGGTCAAGTCTATGCATCTGTGGGAGTAAACCAAAAATCTTTTACATAGCTGCTTCTCTCAGAATCGTTCGGATTGGATCCTGGGGGCTAGTATATCTGTATTTGTAGGTGGGTCCGCCTAGGGCATGTTTTGGTTCTTGCTGAGAGTGTGCCATGATTCTGCCCTACCCCATGGAGTACCCCCCATGGAGACAACAATGAGAAGCCTGGTAGCCCCATGTTTCCACTAACTTGTAACCCTTATCAGAAAGTCTCCCTCCCTCCCCTCTTTTCCTCCCATATCGTCTCTCTCTCTTTCCCTCCCTCTTTCTCTACCAATATGTCTCTCTCTTTTTCTGGTGCACACACGGACACACACACACACACACACACACACAATCACACACAGAGACATGGGCACACATGCACTGTGGTAACCATTAAGGAAACACATGAATTTTCTTAACACACAAGAAATTTGATATATAGAAAGAGTTCTTCCCATAATTAAAAACCAAAATCAAAAAAAGACACAAAAATATAACCCTTTATCTCAGACCACAGACACTTAGGGTGAGAAAATTTAGTGTTGAATGTTCCACTTATTGAAAATTCCTCGTGATATCTGACTCTTTCCATATACTTTCATAAGATACATTTGTTCATGTATCTTCTCACAAGGTACCTCTAGAAACATCTATCATGGAAAATAGATGCCTAATGATGACAAAGTTGATGCTCATGTTGATGATGAATGTGAGAGCAAGGGCAAAAATGATTCAGTTCTAAGCTTGCATCCCTTCCCTGCAGGGACCGGGAACTAACTGCCTTTGTGTGACTTGGACAACCAACTCAGAATGCATGTGCTGGATAGGGTGGGAAAGAGTTTCCTGGCAAGTATCGCATTAGGAATGGCCTCCTGTCATACAGAACTACATTACTCTCTGGTGTACAGTACAGTGATTTACCATGTTTACACGTTATGCTATGCTCACCACGAGTATAGTCAGCATCTGTCACTATACAATATTATTACACTGTTATTGGCTATATTCCCTATGCCATATTTTCATCCCCATGACTTCTTTATTTCATGATTAGAAGTATGTACCTTTAACTTTGGTATTCACTAATGTCTGCATAAGTAAGCATCATAAAGTGACTAATAAGCAGAAAAAATAATAGGAAGTCTCAAGAGTGTGACCACAGGCATACATGATTGTTTCAGAGGTTCAGGACCTTGGGAAAGATGCAGAATCAAGATCCAGAGTCTCCTAACAGGATGGGCTCAGGAGCAAGATCTCTGACAAGACTTCTGTCAATGTTTTTGATGGGTCAGATGAGGAAGATAAGGTCGGAAAGGTAAAAGAGAGGCACAGGCCCTAACTAACTTGTAACTCAATAATTCTTAAGTAATTTCCTCCCTTTGTCCATAGCGGGGAGCCACAGTTCCAAGCGGGGGAGCAGAGTCCTATTTCTAGCCTCCCTACCACCTTCACTTGGGACTTTGCGACAGTGACGTCATTTCTCCACACTCCCGTTTCTTCAGCTGTCCTCCTTCCAAACTCAAAAATCAGTCTTCTAAAGACCTCAAATGTTAGTCAGAAAAGTATATACATAGCTGTCTCAACAAATTCTCAAAAATAAATCTAATAAAATTTAATATTAGATCTCAATAAAAAAGATCTTAGAAAACTCTGAGAAAAAAGATTATCTGTGAAATGATGAACACAGTTTGTTTCAAGTAAGAAGAAATCATAATGTGTCATTATCAATTAGTTTTGTGCTTAAATTCCAACAAATTAAATAATAAAGAAACGTGTATATGATATACATGTAAAAGAAAGGATGACACAAAACTATCATCAAAGTAAAATAAAATAATTGATCTGAAAATGGTTAGAATTAGTAAGAAAATTCTCTAAATTGGCCACATGCTATAAATAGGCAAACTCTGGTTTAAATTTATGAGCTCAAATGGCCCTTTATATAAAGCCACTAACCATGAAGTAGTTAAATCACCTGAATAAAAATTGTCCAGGACTCATATGAATGAGCCTACAAAATCACCTACAGAAGAGTGAATTAGAAGAATCATGCTGTTCTCTTCTAAGGGAAGAGCAATTTATATAACTAATAAAATAACCAATTAAATGTGTAGCGTTTGTTAGAGACATAAATGACTAAATTATGTAACTAAATGACTTTCAAAATCACATGTGAGCAATAAGAAAATATAAGAGCTTAAAGATAAATGGGTAATAGTTATTTAAAAATTCACAAAATATGGGCGCCTGGGTGGCTCAGTCAGTTGAGCGTCCAACTTCGGCTCAGGTCATGATCTCATGTTCGTGGGTTCGAGCCCCTTGTCGGGCTCTGTGCTGACAGCTAGCTCAGAACCTGGAGCCTGTTTCACATTCTGTATCTCCCTCTCTTTCTGACCCTCCCCTGCTCACACTGTCTCTCTCTTTCTCAGAAATAAAATATTTTAAAAAACATTAAAAATCACAAAATAGAGGGGCACCTGAGCGGTTCATTCAGTTGAGTACCTGATTTTAGCCCAGGTCATGCTTTCATTCCTGGGTGAGCCCTGCTTTGGGTTCCCTGCTGTCAGCTCAGAGCCTGTTTCAGATCCTCTCTCTCTGCCCCTCCTCCCAAAAAAATGAATAAACATTTTCACAAAATAGAGAATTCAAAGAAACAATGAATATCTGGAAAGATGTTCACTTTCCCAAATAAAGAAATACGAATGAAAACAATAAAATATAATTTTATACCCATCATTGATTATTTTAAAGAGATACTCTCCAATTCTCGGTTACAGGTATTAAAACCACCCTCTTACATAGTTCTGTTACAAAAGCTTTATAATCAGTTCTAAATTGGAACATTGAATCTTAGATAATATCCTAAAATTCAGACAAAACTTCAGAATTTTAAGATGTTAAGTTTTGTGTAATTTACAATCATAAACACACACACCACCTCTAGAACAAGGGTAGGAAAATACAATGTTGATTAAATAAGAAGTGGTCATGATACAGGAGGTAGTTTCACGAAGACTCATGGGGATTCCACTCTGCTACTGGGTCTGGGTCTACCCACCCGTGGTCTGTACCCTCTGCCCCAACAGATGCATGCCTACTTCAGCTGCCATCATCAGAAGTAGCTCTGGTTTGGAGACGGAATGGATCTTGCATTTGCTTCACACCACAATGGAGGAGGTACATGAGATTACAGATCTTATTACAACAGTTTCTGAGGATTCCAGCTCTGAGAAGAGACTTCGAAAAGATAGCATAAAATACAATTCTGATCATACAGTTTGAACTTTATTGTTGAATAAGGTTAAAAGACCAAGAGCAAATCTGGTTCCATACCAAACTTTGGGGATTATAAATCCGAGGATTTCAGCTAGAAAACCTCCTTAGTCTACATAAAGCATGATGAGCCCAGGAGGTAGAGGGTAAAAAGATCAGAGAAGAGAAAAGAGCATCTGGCCTGAGAAGGCCCAGGAATATCTGGCTTTTCCTTCTCTGCTCTTCAGTGGTCCCCAAGGGCGCTGGTCAGCAGGAGCCCCCAGAGCCCTGGCAGTGGCGGGAGCCTCCAAGGACTCACATTCGTAATGCCGGCTCTGATAGAAGAGATGGGGCCTTGGTGACCCAGCAGCAGCTGCCACTCCCAGAGATGAAGCCACTGCAGGAAGAGACTTGAGGGGGTCCTGAGGCTGGGCACTGGGGCGAGGGACCTTTGGGGGGTTGGCATCACTGCTGGCTCTGTTAGCAAGACATCAATAGAGCAGAAGTTCAATACTGCTGAGAAAGAACACAAAATATTTTCATGTGCATTAAGTAATTTCGGTGGTATTACTTCCTCTCCACTTTTACACCTTTCCACCTAGAAATAATGAGTTAACCTTAGAAAACATCTACAAAGTCATCCTGCAATTTCAATAAACTTTGTTGATCTATGCACTAAAGACAATGTTCTTTCATTCCACTTCCCAGATGAATTCTGTGTCTGCAGGGAATTAAGAAGTGAGAGAGGCACCAGCCTTTCCAGACTTGCACAAGGACCCTGTACCTGGTAGAAAAGGGCACTCTTCAGAGACATGCCTTCAGGCCAGTCCCCCAGGCAAAGTTGACATAGACTCAAGCACAGCAGCTCTTCCTCAGCCAGCAAAAGTGCCAGTTCCAGATGAGGCTCCTGACAAGTGTCATCAAGAAACATTGCACTTCTGGGGGCACCTGGGTGGCTCAGACGGTTAAGCGTCCGACTTTGGCTCAGGTCATGATCATGGTTCA